ACACACACACACACACACACTAGGGTAAATTCACACAAAGCTAAACAAAGTCAGTAACAGAGACAAATTCACTGTGCCTAATGTCTTTGTTTTGTTTCTGTAAATATCCAACTTCCTGTCTTTTGTTTCCCAGCCAATAGAAATACAGAGAGGCGTTACCAGGCAACAGATCTGCACTGTGGGATGAGAGGTGAATGGAAAACTTACGGAGGCAGAAGATGAAGTGATGTTAAGAAGGAGACAACAATGAAAGAAAGGCGACGTGAAGTTGAGGTGAGAAAGCAGGAAAATGAGGGAATTGAGTTATGAAACGTTTTAAATGAATTGGTCAGTTTATCGGAAGGAGCAAATGTGAGTGGTTAACAGAGTGGACTGAAGAAAGAGCTGAGGAACATACTTCAGGTGAAGGCCAGGCCTTGTAGAGAGCTGGCTGTTGAGTACTTGCTAGAGTCCACAAATGTCTGATCTGGTAGAGAGGCAGAGAGACAGGGACCGAGACATGACAAGGGAAGGGTGGAAGTTCAGAGGAATAACAAGAGGATGGGTTACAAGTTAGAGAAGAAAAACAGAAGGGACAGGAGAACAAAATTTGAAGCAATACAAAAAGAAAGTGGATACAAACTGTCCTCAACAGAAAAAAAGTTCATTTAAAAAGCTTAAAATGACCTAACCACAACTTGCAGTTATTAAATAGGCAAATAATCTCCTCTTTCAAGAGAAATACTGAAGCAGTCACAAGTATTAAGTGTCCTCTTTGGATTGCATTTTCAGTTGTATTTATATTTGTAATTAAATACTAAATGTTATTGGTTTTTAAGAATGATGAAGGTTAGAAAATCCAATTTCAAAAACCAAAAAAGGATGTCATCGCAAATCTTCTACAACATGCAGTGTATGATGCAAAAGTGTCTCTTAATTTATCAGGCTTGTGTTTTGGGGCAGAACTTGCAGTGAACCAATCAGATTTCCATTTCCTTTTTCTCTTTGAAAGCAGGGTCACACTAGGGGTTCTATGACAGTGCGCTTTGCTAATATCATCATGCTAACGTGCTGATGCCCTTGTTCATTTCATCCGTTAGCATGTTAACATTTGCTAAACCCAATGAACACCCGAGGCTGATGGGAACTGTATTAGTTCTGCATGTTTTGGTCATAAAACAAAAATCTGATGATGTTTCATTGTGAGGATGTGAATGCATGTAGAAAATGTCATAGAAGTCTTTTGAGACGATGTTTTTGAGTTTAGGCATTTCTCCGAATAATATATGAATAATATAATCATATAATATGAATTGAATAGCGGCAAAAGCAGAGGATCACAAATTCAATACGAAGAATTCCTAACTTTTGATATAAGTTAATATTTTATCAGGTCCTGTGAGAAGAGGAAGAGGAGAGAAACATGCAGGGAGGATCATTAAGGATGAGGGAACCCCCCTTTAAGCATCCTCTGGCTGACTGGCTGCTGTCATGGTAAATTACCTTGGAGCCCGTTGCCGTTGACGCTGGTACATGAGGGCGGAGGGGAGGAGGAGGGCCTGACCACCGGAGCAAAGGCTGACTTCTGCTTAACGGCCGCCGACACCATGTTGGCCGGAGAGAAGGAGAAGACGCCAGAAGAGGAGGAGCAGTTGGAGGGGAGGGAGGTGGAGGAGGCCATGGTGGGACTGGATGGGACAACTGGAGCGGGAGAAATGAACATTGGGAGAGAGGAGAGGAATAAAGAGAAAGAGAGAGGAAGAGATGTGGGATAAAGAGGAGAGGGATGGATTGGAGATGAAGGGTGAAAATAAAGATGAGAAATGATTTATTTCATTCTTAATTTATTGAACTAGAATTTATAATTTCATCAGATACATAAGAAATTCTCCACTTTATGTGAGACATAAAGCCGTGATATATATCTCACTGAGGTACATTACAGACTTCTAGTGAGAATATAATTTACATCCAAAAATATAAGAACACTCTTGGCCGAGGATGTGTTTCAACTATAGACTGTGTATAAAAATGAATGACGAATAATGGCGGGCTGCGGTATAGGTCATAAATCTCACCTCCTCCATGTTAGTGAATGGGACCAGTGTTAATATTTAAGGGATGAAACGTTGAGAATGGCTTTTGCGATTGGTCGTGCATGTATGTCAGTGGGACCTCAATACCACGGCACAATTCCAAGAGGGTTGCGCACATATCTGGGATATTTCATCTTCATTTTTGTACAATGAGAGGAAGAGGAAATGCGTTGTCCATCTTTAGCTACAGTCTATGGTTTGGAAAGTTTACAGCACTAACTGAGCACTGATCTTTAACCCCATCAAACATTCGTGGGATTCTTTTTTTTTTAATCGTTCAACATCAGCTCTCAGCCTCACGTTGTCACAATCAAAGATCTGTGTCCCTCCAGGAGTAGCAGAGGCTGTCACCACAGTGGATCACTGTCTATTCTCCCATATATCAAATGTGGGTGTAATGTTTGTATGTCCACATAGTTTTGTCAGTGTGGTTTATTATGTAAATAGGGCAATGAGTGCATTTTATGAGAAGTGACACATGAAGGCTTTCACTTAAGTCGACTCCTCCCAAGTCAAACATCCACATCCGCATCCACCTGCATCATCATCACCATCATCAGTGCGAAAAATTTGAGCAAACAAACATCTCTCTCTTCATCCATTATCCTATCTCTCTCTCTCTTGCTTTCTGCCAAATGGAAAAGAGATGCAATTAACCAACAGAGAAAAAAGAGGTGTGGCTGTCAGATGAAAGTCTGCAAGCGGAGAAGGGAGGAGATGGACGGAGGACAAAATGGATCTATGGGCAGTGAGTTAGTGAATGTTTTTGAAGACACAGAGACAGAAAACCCCACGGGAGGGGGGTCTCCACAAAGCAGATCTGAGACTTTCCCTTTATGTCCATTTGAGTCTTTGTATGTGCATGTGCACACCAAAGTATTGTTCGTCTCAGCGACAAAGTAGGAACAGTATTACATGTTTGTGTGTTTGGGTGAATGTGCACACTCACTAGCATAAGGCGAGTTGGCTGCAGAGCCGTTGAGGAAAGTGGGCGAGCCTCCCAGGTTGGTCATGCCTGTGTTGTTACCGTAGCCGTTCATGGTGCTGGTGACTGAGGTGTAACTGGTCTGCTGGGGCGTGGAGCTAGGCACATAACCGTGAGGGGACACACTACTGCTGCTGCGCACGAAACCTGCAGGACACAGGGCGGAGAGGAAGAGGAGCGAGACGGTCAAAGTGACGAATACACAGGTCAGATCTGCACCGCGACTACTTTATATCGAAAAAGTATTTCAGGCAAATATCTAAAGGTTTTGACAGGATTTCACAATAGCAGCAAAGAACAAAAAAGAAAAATATCACAACACACTGACAACACATCCCACGTAATGCAGTTTATATACCAGGACCTCTGATTTGAATATTTTAAAACATGACTGCACTGGACTGTCTGTGTTAATAAAGGTTCTTATTATTAATATGCAAATACGTCTCCACACTGGGATCAAATGGAAAATGATAAACAATCCAACTTCTCACCCTGATTGGCCTGTGGTGGTTCGGAGACATTGACGGACAGCTGCCCTGCAAAAGAGTTGACCCCCATCATGCCGCTGTGGGTGGAGCCGGAGAGCTGGGTGTGTCCTCGTGGAACGCTGTAGAGAGCCTCTGCGATGTCCGCCGCACGCTTCAGGATGATCTCCTGCAGGATTAGGGGAAAACGAAAGAATAATTATTTCAATGAGAATTAACATACATGCTTTCACACTCTGTCCTCTTTCTGTGTATATCTCTGCTCATTACCTGGTTATTATGTGGCAAACCATAGAGGGCTTCTACCAGGTCCGCTGCTCTCTTCAGAATAACCTCCTGAGAACAAATGAGGGAAAAGAAAGAGTTTGCTTCAGGTTTTATGCCAGATACACAAGTAGCTGTACTTGTACTCTTCCTCTTATGTCGTCTGGTGGGTCAGAAGTATAAAAAATAAATCTAAATTATAATTCACCAATATGTTAGATACAGCTTTCAGACACACATGCATGCAGATTTCAAAGAACGACACAAAAGTGATTTAAAAAATGTGCAATCTCTCTTTCCTCTCATCCCCCCCCCCAAACACACCATCTACCAACATCCATTTCACCATTTATTCATCATAAACAAATTGCTCTTCACTCCTTTTAAAGGGAAATAATCTGCCGTCTAGTCGAGTGCTTTTATGTGTCTTCATGACATCTTGAAGTGACAGGTATTTAAAATATACTCTGAAGTAAATCTGAAGTGCTCTGTGGGCTCTTCTCCTGTGCATTGCTGTTCCTATCAGATCACATGTGGGCAGTTTTGGTCCTGAGCTGCTCTGTTGCTGTGACAGTCCAGACAATCCTTCAACAGTTCTTATTTTCTTGTGTTGCGTTTTACGATAGCAAAAAATCAGGTAGAGGTGAAGAACTTTGTGGGAAAAAAAGACCTGGATTTGCACCATTGTGACAGTTCTTTCATTTTTATTCACCTCCAGTGATGGAAAGTGTTCTTAATTAATTCCTGGAAATTTTGTTTTTATCGTCCCCCCCTTCAATTTCCTCATCTCTGTTCTCTACTCATGCTCCTCTGCTTCCTCGATCCATTTTCACCTTTCTTGCCTCCACTGTGCGAATTGTCTCACTAATCCCCCCCCCCCACCCACAAACACATCTTCAGTTCTGTCTCTCTTTTCTCAGTCTCTTTATTGTTTCTCCTCTCTCTCTCACCCGCCCACACTCTCGCTCTCTCCCTCTTTCGCTCGTCTTCCACCCCGGGGTCTAAGGTGTCTTGTTTAACAGTTAATGTGTTGTCGTTTCCACAGCGTGAGGCCGCGCGGCGACAGAGAGAAAATTACTCTGTGCTTCACAGTATTAACCTGCACTGTGTGACACACACACACACCCACAGACATTTATGGTTGACTGCATGTGTGCTCTTCTGTGAGTTTGTGCCTGGTGGAACATATTGCTTCTCCATCAGTGTGTGTGTGTGTGTGTGTGTGTGTGTGTGTGTGTGTGTGTGTGTGTGTGTGTGTGTGTGAGAGAGAGGATATGTGAGGTCACACAGTCAGTCAGCAGTTTTAGTGTGCCTGTCCATGGTGCTAAATTCAATCTTTTACACATTATTACGGCCAGGCTGGCTCTCTGTTAACCTCTCATTATTAGACTGTTGAGCTGAGCAGCTCTCACACACACACACACACACACACACACACACACATGCTGACACATACACTAACACTCTAACACTTACACTCACAGAAACCTGATCCTGGATGTTCGAGCGGTTCCTGTAAAGCAGTAGCTGATAAACGGGAAGGAAAGATGATCCTCTGGTAACATCATCATTATCAGGTCTGCAGACACGACATCACTCAAAGCCTGCGACTGCTGGAATCGATGCACTTTAAATACTGTGCCTGTTTACGTCTTTCATAATTGGACACAAAGCCACTCTCATCGCCTTATTAATCTCTCTCAGGTTGCGCCTGTATATAAAAAGCATTGTTTGCCATATTACCTCCTGCTTAATACCTCTTGCTTACAGCTGCATTGTGTTGATATGAATGAGAATAAAGATGTGGATTTAAATGTCCACTATAATCCAACTTTGACATGCTGGGGGCTTGAACTTGTGTCAATAGGACAGTGAAATCACCTTCTGTCATGACATCTGATGATATGGCGCCACAATAAAAGCTGCTTTCATGTTGTTGTTTTTAAACGTAATACCCCTGCATCTTCTATCACTTCAAACTCTTACATTTATGAAATATAGTCTTAAAACTGTTAAAACAACAGCAACACACTAGATGAATATGCCTCTACACGCTGTTTGGTTCTAACATGTCCCGTTACCGCATGTTTTACCCACTCTCTCTCTCTCTCTCCCCTTTTCATGCTTCTGCTGTCCTCTCACTAAAGGCAAACATGCCCGAGAAGATCTGTGCTAGATATAAAAAATATTAAACTTTAATTCAAATAGTCTGGGTCTGTGTTTATTCTTAACCTCAGAAAGAGTTCTTCTTCATCAGTAAATAAAGTTTACTCAGCCAACTTATTTGCGTTAAACCCTTGATGTCTATGTGTTTTCACGATGACATGCGAATCAGTCACCTGCCTCCTGGGTTTACAGTTGATGATGATGAATTATGACAGTGATGGAAACTGAATTTGAAGCGCTTCTGTTTTTAATCACTGATTTCTTTGATTCCTCTAATTACTGCAATGAAAAATGATTTTTAAGCTTTAATCTCTAATGTTTGCCTCGATGAATCCTAGTCTGCTGTCAAATATTTATGGAATATACGCCTGACAAGCATATCGTTTCATTTTTCACTCTCACAGGTAAACATGAAGACAGTCAGACCGAGGAAATAGAGAAACATGAAAGAAAAGACTGATCGGCCGAGAGAGAAAATAACAGGAGGTGCTTTTACTGTTCTGACCATTTCTAATGTGGTAACCACCCACCCACACACACACACACACACACACACACACACACACACACACGTCGTATGCATTAGGACCAGGAAACGCTGAGCGGACTATCTGTGGGGTCAGATGTGTGTGTAACATGCGTGTGCCAGGCCAACACAGACATGACACACACGACTTATTCTTCCTTAATGCTGGTACATTAGCCCCTTGATCCGCTTCTAATGTCCCATTAGGGATGCTGTACATGCAGGGTCACACTTCACACATGGAGATGATGTCATACTTAACATGATGGCAAGAGGGATGTGGGGTAATATCACACACATACACACATAATTAACAGTATTGATTTGTGCGCACACACACGCACACACACACACACACACACAGTGCTAATAATCTCACTGCTGATTGAGTGAAGAGAGAAAAAAGAGTTCCATGGTTTCACATCTGTGTGTTCATGCATCACCAGGATTACTCATACACACTGGAGCTGACCTCAGTGTGATGTATGACATCAAAATGAGTCGCATAGCGATGTCGGCTGAGTGAGTCACACAGGAAGTCACCAGTCTGACGGTGGTGACACATACTGGTCAACCTTCCCGACCAAGACCCCTTCACTACCAGAACTGATCAGTAAGCAGATCTCATCCTGACCTCACCTTGAACCAAACCAAACCTCAGAATGAAGACATTTCCACATACAATCCTTTCTTCAATAAATACAATATTTTTTCCCAATGAACTCCATGCATTTAAGAACTGCAAAAATTAAATTTGTGCCAATACATCACATTTTATTTACTAAGTTGACCTTGTCTGTTTTTAAGGCTGTTTTTGTCCTAATTTTTTTGCTGCAGTGCAAACCAAGAGGGGTGATTGATTTCTTTGTGCATCCATGGAGGTTCTTCACGGGTGATTAGACCAGAGTTTGAAAACTGTTGTATAAGCTATTTAATATCAAACAATTTCAGATTTTTGATGAAAATGAAGAATAACTCAACATTCAAAAGTATGAATTATTAAATTCACAAAAAATATTCACTCTTGATTATATTGAGAAGCTCCTGGTCAAATGGTGTGTAACTGGGGCACAAAACAGCTTGATCTCATCAGTTTACCCAAAATAAGCTGCAGAAGAACTGATAATATTTGCATTGAAAAATTCCCTGAAGGCTTTTATGGTGTTATATCACATTATACAATAACTGTATGTGCACTTGGATGAAGGCTTGAGAGATCATTGAGACATAAAGTGGCAGCTGAATACTGGTGTGTGTGTGTATGTGTGTGTGTGTGGCCAGCAAAATCCCCTGAATGTTCACTGAACAATTATAGAATCGGCTGTCCACTGGTAATCCTCTCATACACTTCACTGCCCCGTCTGTCAGTCTGTCTGTCTGTTGTCCGTATGTCAGTTGTCAGTCTGTTGTCTGTGTGCCTGGCTAGTGCGGGCCAGTTGTCTTGTCTGTTAACGTCATTATAAGGGCTGATCAATACTCCTGACGAGCAGGACACACACACACACACACACACACACACACACACACACACACACACACACACACACACACACACACACACACACACACACACACACACAAACTATGAGTGATCAGGGATGTTTTGGTACCGTTTGGATTCTGTTACTCTGAGAAATGCTAAATACTGTGAAGGTGCTTTGATCACAGTTCTTGGGGAGAGCGAAGAATTTAGACCAATCGCTAAGAGACAATATGTTTACACATTTGTTTTCCTGGATTCTTTGTCACTCAGTGATTGTCTTTTGTAGTTTCTCAGGAGGTTTGGTTTCCTTTAGTTGAACTAGTTGAACTGTTAAAGTGTGATTTTCATCTCCTGCACCATGACTGAAAAAAAAAACAGTGACAAGTAGCTGTGTTTATAGATCAATAGTCTTTCCCCATGTTTGGCTGTGATTAACCTCTCTGTCGTCCTTTGGTTGGATCTGATACCTGATCAGTGCATCCAGCTCCTCAGTGTTTGCAGCAACTTGATAGTTTTCATTGTTGATTTGCCTGAAAATATCTTGTGTGATGATCATGTTGCTTATAATAAGCTGATGATCCATGTTAATGGTTAAAGAACATGGCTTAGGCAAATACAGGTCATGTTCTGGTTACGGTTATGAAATCAAATGATCTGGTTCATGATCATGTTCAGTAAAATAATGAAATAAATTTTACTAGCAGATCAGGGAGAGGATTCAAACTCTCATGAGAGTCACATAATGTTCTTTCTCTCTACTCAAAAACACGTAAAAGACAAACATGATCTGCAACAAAAAAATAGATGATTTGACTGGCCAACAATTAAGTGCCAATTATTATTTATTATCAATAAAGCAAATATTGAAAAGTCCCAAATATTTGATGGGACTATATCTACAATGCGACACGAAACAAAATATCTGCCGACGACTGGTCGGACAAAACAAGATATTTGTTTGAGCATAAAAAAACTGTGTTTGGCATCACAGTTTTAGTTTTATTTTACAAACCAAAATCTTATAAATGAGGTGTGAGAAAAGTATTACATTTATTGATTATTAAAATGTCTTTTTAGTTGCTGCCCTCAGGCTTCCTGCGCTGGCACTGACACTGGCAAGAGACTCCAGATGCTGATTCAGGCCAATAGACGTAATAACTGTGAAACTCTGCTGGATTTGACCACACTACACCGATTAACTACTTCTTACCTAATCTACAAAAATTATGATAAAAATATTCCATATTGTAACCATTTGTAACCATCCTAAAAATAGTGTAACTCTGCACAGTAAAATGTTCTAAAACACCCACTTTTCCTCATTATGGTGAAGCACAAACCCTCAGTGTTTGTCCAGTTTCACAACTTGACTCTAAGTTTTAATACCAGCATTTAAACAGCAATGAGCTCATTAAAGGGATAGTTCACTGAAAAGGGAAAATTCACTCATTATCTTCTCACCACTTTGCTGGTGGAGGGGTGGAAAACACAACATGCCTTAATACTGCTCATGTGATGCCCCGTATGGAAGCATGTTATGTTTTTTCTGTTGTTTTATTAAGTCTGAAGTCTCTGTCACCATTTACTTCAATTGTGTTTCAGTTTACTTCTGAAACTCCAGAAGTGTTTTGTGGACTCAAAAACTTCACCCAGCCCTCCATTGGCGTAGTGGTGAATAGATAATGAGTGATTTTAAATCTTTCAGGGAAATATCCCTTTAATGTCCGAGGCTAAACATGCTGTAATGTACAGTAACGTCCACTGTAAACAAGTGAACACAATAAATGTTTATGAGCCACATTTGAGGTGCAGAGTGTGTGTGTGATGTGCTGAGTGTGGTTCCCATAGTGATAATGCGCATTTACATTACTAATGATTACTAACACATGTGTAGGAGCCACGGTGTCGGCACGGCCACGATGACATTGCAGCATCACCACATCATTGCATAATGACCAGCGCCCATGCCTGATGACGTCACAGCAGAGGCAGCCAATCCTGGATCAGCTCCATTGGGCATGAGAAGCCAATCGAAAGCAGCTGTTTGAAAAGGTCGTGACCCCACCCACCCAGATTCTTACCCGAGTTTAATGTGAACGTGGTTAGCCTGCACACACACACACACACTCACACTCACACTTTGAAAGAGTCCCCTCTGCATGTACAGATCAACATGACAGAGTTCGTTTTCAAAGCCGAGCTCATCTTTTAGTGCTAATTGTTTACATCTGCTGATCCTTTAAACGCTCTGCTTGATCTCCAGCTGTTAAACAAATAATCAGATATGACTTTCTGATCTGGAGACGATTCAAACACTCACCCTCCAAACGAGGGTTAAGCAGCTCACACACACAGAGTTCAACGGGGAGGTAAGAACACAAGAGATTTGAAAAAACATATTCTGCTGAGAAATACAAAAATAACACAAACAAAACCAACGCGGAAAACATAAACGCATAATTGTTTTGTTCTTAGTGTTTTGAATTTATGCGTGTGTGTCTGCATGCTGGTTCTTTGATAACAGAGCAGCTCTGTGCAGCTCAATGCAGCTGAGCAGCTGCAGATTCGATCTCTGTAAGCGCTCCCGTACCGGCCCTTCTGAAGGGTCCCTTCATAGCTTCACTGGACAGTGAACATCATCGAGTTCCCTGTGATTCTTTTGCCAAAGTTGAACATTAATTATTTTGGTACCTTTGGCAGCCTCTCTGGGTCCCCGGGGTGTCGTGGGATGACTTTCTGAAGCCTCTGGAAACCGTAGTCGATGGTTGGTTCATTCAGGGCTGTGGAGGACAGAAGTGGAAATGTGCTTTATTGTTTAGTACAGATAGATCTCATGGGACGGGCGCTTCCTGAGCAAGTCTAGAAAACAGTGTCTGTTCAGAGGTGATGTCATGCTGGGTTGGTTGCTACGGAAAAGTTCTAGCAAAGAAAGTCACAAATCAAGAACTCATATTACTTCTCTGCCGTTGGTCGACATTATTGTCCCCTAGAATGAACCCCTCAGAGTCTTAAATATCACCTCCTGCAGCTTTAAAGAGATCATTTCATAGATAGGACAGTATTGATTTTGCAGAGATACTTGATGTAAAAACCAACACAGTGGATTGTTGTATCACCAACAACAACATGAATAGGTGTAATCAAGTATGCAACATTTAATAAAGTGAGCATGTATTGTAATACCTAAGTGAAATTATAATAAGCAACTGGTAACAATGAAACGACAAGGCATAAGTAATGACAGGTGGTAACCTCTCTCCATCTTTTTTTCATGCAATGAAAAAAAAAGAAGAAAAAAGAATATTTGTATAGCACCTTTCATAAAAGAATTGCAGCTCAAAGTGCTTTACATGCAATATAGATAAAAATAAAAAGATGTAAACACCGAAAAATGTAATTCAGATTTTATGTAACATAAGAACATGTTAAAATGACAATTAAAAGGGAAATAAATGAAATTAAATAAAACATGCATGAAACAGGTGAAAAAATAATATTAGAGTAGTGAACCAAAACAGTGAGCTGAAAGAGTGTAAAGCTCTGTAGAGTCAAATACAAGTAGAACCCTCCACCAAGGAGGTAAAGTTTTCATTGCAGTCTGTCTGTCTGTCTGTCAGCAGGATTACTTTAAACTATTCAACCGATTTTCATGAAATGATCTAGAGGGGTGGGGTGTGACCCAAGGAAGAAGCCTTTATATTTGAGACTGGATCTGAATTTAATGGTCAGTATTGTTTTTTTACTTCATATATTGGTTATAACCACATTTACAGATATTTCCCACTTACTTCCTGTTACAAAAAGGATGTTGTGTCTTATTTGCTTCTCCCTCAGTGAAGAGTAAACATGTGTGTTAAGATTTTCCATTCCACCATCTGCTCTTTCTTGAAGCTTCTGCTTTGTTTTTGCACCCTTAACCTCTTTAATGGTGTAAAGCAATCCTGCTGATTCCAACAAATCCCAACAGTGTCATATAATGTAAAATACAGCACAGGGGCAAGTAGTCACTGACCAGTAAATGTTGATGGGAAAAAAGAAAACTGACTTTTGCCCTTTGGAGAAAAAAAACACAAATATGCAGATTTCCCAGTGGGATTTCTTATTTAATCTAAGATTTCTGTGTAAACATCTTGTTGATGCAAAACAACAGAAAGCTAAAGCTTGTGATTGTGCACATGAATGTTATAATCAACCAACAATGGTAAAGGCTTCCTCCAGCTCACCAGGCTCCCTGTCTTGTTTTAAGCAACAGTATCACTGTTTGAAAACTACTGTTGAAGCAGAGTAAAGGTATTAAAATGCGATAGTTTAAACTTTAATGTTATTTGTGTTCAACCTGAGTTTGAACATGTGATAAACAGACACAGATCATCAACATCTGTGCCAGTCAGCAGGGGGGTGCAGTATTCAATTTCAGAAGCTAGGGATCTTTCAATCAAGACATAGTTCTATAACATTGTGAAGCAGCATGGGATTGTGGGAGTTGTAATCTTCATGACTATTCAAATCATGTTCATGGACGAGTTAATGTATTAAATTTTTATTCACGTTTACAGTAAACTGCAATGAATAATCATGATCCCAAAAAGAGACGACTAACTAGCTAACTCGCTAGTTTTTACTTCGTCATTCAATGCTTGACCCTGAATTTGTAGCAGAGACGGGCAAAGCCGCGGTTAGTGGATACAACCACATTAAAAAGCAATTATAATTAAACTGTTACCTTGAACGGAATAGGGCATTTCTCTATATCATATATTAAGTATTTTTTCTGCTGTTAACAGTAGGGATCGGTGGGAGCAGCCGTGTGAGGTTTTAATGCAACATATAAATGTTCGGAGATGAAAAGACCTGGTGGAGTAAGTAACGGTGTCAAAAGCATCTGTATGATGATAATAGCGCAAGTATAATCTAAAGGGCTTTAAAGAACGTTTAGAGTTCACTCTCATGTTGCAATTACGTTCTTCTACAGTCTTTATCCAATCAACACGTCAATCAACTCGAGCTCTGAAAGCTCCATCAGTCAGAATGATGAGTATTGTGTGTGTGTGTGTGTGTGTGTGTGTGTGTGTTTCTGTGTTTATGTATATGTGTCTTCACCCTATTGTTGAACCTAAGGTGTGTGTGTGTGTGTGTGATGTCCAATGTGCAGCTGGAGTGATATTTGGTACTTTCCAAATCCAGCTTTCATAAATTACTTGCAGCTGAATGTCCTCTCTGCTGTTTTTTTTGTTTCTTTTAGCACATGTGTGTGGTTTTTATATGTATGTCTGTTTTATTATCACATCACACACCCAATTTTCTGGTTTCTGTTGTGTCCGAAACCACATAATTTGTTAGCAGCATAAGTTCATAAATTGTGAGCTGTAAAAATACCAGATGTGAAACTGTCAGGAACAATACTTTCCCTCTGCTCCAAGGAAACATATTTCTTAAGACTATGATTTTATGATTCACATGTGATAAATGCATCAACACAACTGGTTCGAGAAAAGAGAAATGAAGAGGAGAGGAGAGGAGAGGAGAGGAGAGGAGAGGAAAGGAGAGGAGAGAAGAGAAATGAAGAGGAGAAGAGAGGAGAGGAGAAGAGAAGAGGAGAGGAGAAGAGAGAAGAGGAGAGATTCAGGTGAGAGGAGAGGTAAGTGAAGGAGGTGAGGTAAGTGTAGGAGGAGAGAAGAAAGAGAGAATGTGTTAAACCATCCATAGAAAGAAAGAAAAAAATCAACCCAGTTATGGTTGAGAAAAACAAAACGACAAAAACAGCTGCCTAACAGTCGGTGGGATATCAACTGTCAGAATGAACTGCCAGTGTCAGATCCACACTGTTTGCATCTCTGGAGACATTTAACCGATGCCAACTCTAATATAACACACACACACGCACAAAGACACGTATACAACACGATGACTGTGTGGTTTGGATCCCTAAGGTCTTAAGTGTCTCCAACAGACCCTTTATTAATAGAACAACATGTTGTTGATGGCTTTGTGTAGATTTGTTGTACGTGTGTGTACTTTGGAGCCAAAAGGTCGGGTTTCTTAAATGATTTCTTTCCGCACTGGAACAGAAATAGTATCAGTGAAGCAGAAAACTATGCAATTGATTAAAAAAGCAACCTTGCAGCCGGGTTTCCCAAATGTGCTGTTGTGAGCTGTGTGCGCTCAGACAGGATAGAGAGAGTTGTTGTTTTGCATGGATCATAAATGGAGACGTGGAAAATGCTCATCATCACATAAAGAAACATTCTCCCCAGCACAGGATATACAGTAAGATGATGATGGATACAGCAAGAGCTTTATAAGTATGCAGGGTTTCTTTACATTTGGCCTCTTAGGAAGTGAACCAGGCTGAAAGGATCATGAAGCTCCAGTTATTGGACTTCTGCTGAGAAACTACCAAAAAGATCTAATCTAAGATGCTGAATAATGTGACAGCAAATTTGAGTCTGTCCACATGTCGTACTACACACATACTCCAGTTGGCTAAGCATTGCTCTGAACAACATGCTTCTTAACATCCACTGCCCATTGTGCCGAGGAGGTAAAAGTAATGTGGTCTTTAACTTTATATATCGTAAAATTACAAGAGGTATTATCTTACACCTGGCACAAAGGGATGTCCAGCACAATGCATCAAAGTGTCTCTGCTAGTTTCAGACCAACATAGATGACATTTTCTCATCCAGCTTCCAGATTGTTGAGCTAAATGGGTGTTGGTCTATGTATGTTAAACAAGTGGTAATATAATGTTGAAGCAGATTGTTGGTGTATTGATTGACTAATTGTAGCAACATTTCACTATTTCAAGAGTGGATTATTAATCTGAGCCTACATAGATGGGCGCACAACATGTGTACACTGCTTGTGACACATCATCTGTCTCTTTGGACCATGTGCTTAGATTGTTAAAATAGAGCCGTAAGAGTTTTCAACCGGGCTAGCAACCCTGTGAGACTCTTAACGCAGGCTCTGGAGTATTTTGAGCTACACGCTAACATCATGAAGAACATCTATTTAATTCACCAGGGACTCCTCACTGAAATCTGTGTCCAAGAGAGGCAGCAGCAACGACACTGAGTTACAGATTGACAACATAAAACAAATGCTACGGATTGCCACAAGTTTAAAATAGAGGGCTCACATGGTATGTGTCTCAGACCACTTAGTCTCTAAGACATAGTTTCCTGAGGGATGAATAGTGAAGACTCTCAAACAAAAGGTTCAATTCCCTGTAAGTACATGACAGTTGCATGCATCACTGTTGGAAAACAACTAACAGGGACACGTCAGCCGAGGATTTGGTGACATGAAGCCTGAACCTGTTTCATCTCAACTCATTCTGCCACCCTGCTCCCCAGCATGAACCCCTCCTGCTCTCCTTTACCTCCCCCCTCCTCACGCCTCCCTCTGTTCTGCTCAGCCCCCCCCCACCCCTCCCCCCCTCTTTTCTTAACTACACCTTCTGCCACTTTCATCCAACCATCCGTTTTTCTATCACTCCTCCTCCAGCCCTCGCTCTTCCTCTCAGAGGCCAGAGCTGCCTGCAGATCAATACTCATAGAAGTTTCATGAGGACGGACCCTCCACTCCTGTTTCACAATAAAAATGTGAAGAGAGGAGGGAGACAGAGGAAAAGCAGAGGGGTGGGGGGTTGTGTGCGAAAGAGGCATGGTGAAATCAGGAAAAAAAATATCGTCTGTGTTAAAGCTGTGTGTCTAAGATTTATTATACAACAGTGACATTTTTCCTGTCATCATTTGGCAGACTTTAAACAAAAGAGTGCAAAGAAGACAGCAGAGGGTGGGCAAGGGAGGACGAAGAAAAAAAAAAAAAAGTGGGGCTGTGTGGGTGAAAGGACGAACAGGGCTGATGTAAAATGAGAAGAAGAAGAGGAGGGGGGGGGGGAAGAGAAGGGGAGAGGAGGTGTGGTGAGATCGATTCTCTGGCCAGCCAGCAGTTCAATACCACTGAATTATTGCTTCATTCTTCCCCTTATGAGATGAGATCTCTTTCTCTCCAGCTCCTCTTCTCTTGGTGACTCTGTGCATTTGTATGTGTGTATGTACATGCATGTATCTGAATATGTGTGTCAGTGTATGTGTGATCTACTTAGGAGCAGATCAATACTTTACAATCTGGTTTTAAAAGTCCACCTTTCTTTCTGTCTATCTTTTGTGACTTGTCTCTCTTCCTATGTCTCCTTCTCTGTCTCACCCTCCATACTTCCGTCTTTCATTGTCTCCTGTTGTCTCGGGAACTGAAAGTTAAATTCCTCGTGAAAAAAAAGAGAAAAGTCAAAAAATTGTGAGGCTAATTTAGCTTTCACTTAAACTTTCTTCTCACAGCTGAGGTTTGGATCTTTATTAATGAATTAATGATAAACCTGCTCTCTGTGTGTGTGTGTGTGTGTGTGTATAACGTCTCTGTGTGTGAGACGAACTATTGATTGTCACTTTGTAACATTGTGTGTTTATATAGAGTGTGTGATGCAGAGAATGTTAATGTTTCCCAATAGGCAGATGAAGCAGCCATACGGCGCAGCGTGTGTGGACTATGTGATAGACCATCTGTTTACCAGACTAGTCACCATCTTTCCCTCATATCTCTCTGATTTACAATTACTTTCAACTCCTGCCCCTGTTTGAAAGTGTGTGTGGTAAGTTGTGTAAGACATGACTCTAAGCAAGTGTGGCTTTGTGTGTCTTTACATCTGTGTGCGTGTGTGTTGTTGCACAATCGCGTGTGTGCGCTCTTGAGCGTGTTTAATTGCTCTGTCCTTACACCCAGAGGCAACCACAGCTAGAGCACCAAGAACCCACAAAGGCCAATCAGCTTTCATCGCCAGCGACCTCTCACCAGTGACTTCCAGAACCAAGTCGACCTTGAGGCGGGGTCAGGCAACCGCAGTAACGGATCGCGTTTCCTGGGTCACATGTTGAAGCGATCAGCCAATCGCGAGGTCACAGGGGGTCATCGCCGCCCAATAGGAAAAGCAGTTAGATGCCAGACGGAACAATTACCAGTCGGCTTGCCTCAGGGTCAGACCAAAAATGTTTTGAGTGAAGAATATTAAAGGAAGAACTCAGACAGAGTATGTTTGTCTATAGAAAGAAACTTATTTAACATACTTACAAAGAAGAAAACTAACAAAACGATGTCCAGGGCCTGTTTTATCGTTTTCACTGCATTTTACACAAAACCACTTGGCAATGAGCTCAGGTAGAGAGCCCCATACGTTCTCTCTCCAGTCAGCCAAAGTCTTCTTCTTATTTACATTTTTTTAATATTGTCATTAATTAATTTATGTATGCAACCTGTTGCTGAAGGTGATAACTATTGCCATTTACAGAAACAAACTCTGACAATGTAGGAAAATGTCCACACCCAATTTTCCAGAGTTTTCCTTTCAAATATGAAGAATGCAGCAGGAGATTCTGAGGCTCAGACATGTTGACAACAGCCGCAAAATGTGTGGAACATAAAAAATCACATGTTTTTCGTTACAGCACACCGGCGTAGAACATCATCGCAAAAGTCTTTCCAATATCATCTGAGGCATTTGACTGGAGAATTGCCTCATCACATACAGCCCCTCCAGAAAGTTTTGGGAAATTGTCCGAACTTCGGTGCATGTCCTGGAAGCATGTTAAAGTTTCCTTTCCTTTATTCTGAACGACTGTAGCTGAAACACAAAACTCATCTTTTTATTCTGCGTTCTCAACAGGAAATATTAAAACTTTCCCGAACCTGACACTGACTGTAAAACTGACAATTTATTCATGCCAAGTTTTATTCTTCATCATCATTGATCAGACTTAAATCCTCATCTTTATCTTTGGTTAATTACCAAGGTCATTAAATGTCTCGTACTTCTAATAATTCATAGAGCAACTGTTTTATTTGTCTGTCTCTCTCTCTCTCTGTGAATGCCGTCATCATTACGGTGTGATGGAGCCATGTTGAGCGGATCAATACCAGACATCACATCACCTCAATCCATTTCCACATGTAGTGTATGTGCGAACAAAAAGAGCAAACACACACTTACACACACACATGCACTTTTTTGTCCTTTCTCTCCTCCTTTAGCAGGAAAACACTCGGTCACAGTCAACAATCCGGTCAGAAATCACACACACTTTTCCAACACTGGGTATTTGTGTGTGTTTGTCTGTGTGTTCAATGTGTGTGTTAGTAAACTGGGTGTTCTGGATGATTTCACTAATGACTTCAGTATGGAGCGCTATAAAGAGCAGACTGTTTAATTGTAGCTGGTTTTAACGAGCCTCTGATTATGGCAACATTCTAACGAGTGTGGGTTGTTAATGTTGACTAATCTGCAGTCATTAGTTCAACACTGTCTGGCCTGAGAGTGAACTGCAACTCATGGATGCTCCACACACGCACACGCACGTACACACACGAGAAGGCTGTTACATATGCAAACAAACATTTCAGAAACAATGAAAAATTTAACCTGCTCTTGAGAAACAAGAAGAAAAATTCAACCATATTTTTATGTGGAGAGAGTGCACGTGTGTGTGTGTGTGTGTGCAGTGGACATACCTGTATAAATGAACCTTCCTGGTGTGCCCTTGCAGAACTGTTTAGATTTGTAAGACAGAGTGACCTCGACGACCCCGGGAATGTGTCTGGGAGGCGTCTGCACCCGGATGGCATGAGGCGTGATCAACTGCAGGAAGAACATGGCAAATAATGGCATGTAAATAACAACTTACATGTTATGTTGTAATAAAACACTTCTGCATCAAAACAACCAAGAACCATTTTTTAACTTGGAATCTGACTTTGGATCCAGTTTTGATCACTGCAATGTGTGATAAACTTTGAGGATGCTTTGAGTAAATGTTCTTCCTGAAGCTCCACTCAAGTTTATTTTACGTTGTGGGTCGAGATTATTGCATTTGCACTTGTTAATGTGGTGAAAGGCATCACTTGCTGAGCTGTATTTACATTTGGATTTGGTGCATGTTTGCATCAAATTTGATTTACAGATCCTGCATGTGAATTTAATGTTTGCAGCAAACATTCGGTTTTATGTAGTTTGAGCTAAAAATGACATACTCCTATATCTAATGTAGAATACATTTGAAATCTTGTACATGGGTACCAATTAAAATGTTGTAAATAGTAAAAATAATTTTGTTAACTACAACAGTGTCTCATAATCTTATGTGAAATAGAACAAACTTCAGCTTTAATTAAAGTCTGAATACAGATGGAACATTAATCTTTGTGTTGGGCTGTTCAGGGCAAATCATTTAAAATTATATTTTGAGGGATGTTTCTCAAAAATACTTTTTAGTATTTGGCAAAAAATGTATATGGGTAGGAGGGAGAGGTAAAGACGAACAGAAAGTTGGCACACATAACCAATCACTTTCCACTGAGATTTTTCAAAACTGTTTCTTGCCTCGGAATCAATAATCAGGTTGAGTGCAAATGAAACATTTGGAGCCAGTCTGAGGAACGCCAAGAGAGCTGAGTAAGTTTGAACTGAACTGAACTGAACTGAGACTCTGTACACATGTTAGTGTGTGTAAGTGTGGCTCTCAACACTGTAAACAAACCCCTCAGCTCTCAAACACACACACACACACACACACACACACACACACACCCATCCACGTATGCCAGCATGTACACACACACACTTAGTGTTGTTGTTGGAATGGAGCCATGGTCGCTCGGCGCACACGGTGAGTGGAGTCAGAAGACAAATAAACATTCTGTAGAGGAGTGGCGTTGGGGAAAAGTATGATAGTGAGCCCTGTATGTGTGTGTGTGTGTACGCGTACGTGTAAGTGTGTGTTTTTGCGAGCATTAAGCCGATGGCTATCAAAATCTGCTGATTGGATCAGTATTCCAGAGAGAAAGAGACAGAGCGAGTGTGGTTAAGAGAGGGGCTGCAGTTGCTTGTTGGTGGGGACTCATTAGAGAGGCAAACCTTATTTCGACAAACATTAAGATCCACACACACACACACACACACACACACACACACACACACACAAACACACAAACACACACACACACACACACACACACACACAAACACACAAACACACAAACACACAAACACACACACACACACATGATCACACACAGTTAAGAGCCTGACCATGAGGAAAAGTATGTTTTCATATTGAATTACTTCCAACGGTCGGAGGGCAAAAGCACACAGTCGAGGGGCTGAAACAACACGGAGACGGGATGTTGATTGCTGGCAAACTCACCTCGCTCCAAACCAGCATGGTACCGAAAATGACTTGGAGACCATCAAAGAAGTTGTCTCCGATGATGATGACTGTAGCGCCCCCCGTGGTCCACCCCTCACTGGGGCTGATAGCTTTAATGCAGGGAGCTGCTCCTAGGGCGAAGGGGAGGATTAGAGAAGAGAGGAGGAAAAGTAAAAGAAACAAAAAATCGAATTAGACATACTATTTGAGATGCATATGAACTCAACAGTTGTTGAGTAAAACCCACAAAATCAACATTCACTCTCAGCACGTGAAATCGAAGTCGACAGACACGGTTGTAGGAAAACATTTGTTTCCATTAAAGCTAAACAGTCTCCAAACAAGAAATCTGACCTGAAGTCTGCAACATCCCCAACTCATGCTAGACCCACGATGATCAACAGAACACTGCTATACACTGTGATTCAAAGATTTCTTTTTCCATTTATACTTAAGAAGAAAAGTTTCCTCATGTTAATTTAGAAATAAATGATTACATGCATGAGTCAAGTAACTGCTGATGTTTTAGAACAAATGTTGGGCTTTTATTTTTAATTTCAAAACATTCATTCCATTATTTTTTTAGATATAAAGCAGTTTTCAGACATGAAAAGCTTTTTTCATATAAAGAAAGCAGCAGGGGATTGTATGTTCAGGAAAATGTGTGGAGCATTAACTTTTGCTTTCTCACATACAGGATCGTTCCAGTGTAAGTCTAAAAGCATCTTAAATTAGACTTCTTCCAATACCGCTTACTGTGGGAAGATCAGGAAAAGAAATGTTCATGCTCTGTCACATAGTGTATAACAATTTTAAATGCAATATAATATTTAAGTATCAGTTTGACAGCATATCTTTGCATCCTTTTGTGTTTATTTATTGTCTGTTTATACCACATGCCGCCTCTGTGAGACAGACTGATGGGAGATTACCGCAGATCTCTTCAAATAAGGACTTGACATGGATAAAAACACACAGACAGAAGGTTGAGTGTGTGTCATGGTATTTCTAACAGACTGGGTACACTCGGCTTTATGTCACTTCAATATTGTCTGAATAAGCTCATATTATTCAATTCAATATCACCACAATAAAAGCTTGTCTGTCAAAAACCAACGCGCGTGTGTGTGTGTGTGATTATCAGTATTCAGCTGAAACACAACAACACCTCTTAGTCTGGGTTTATTTATGAAAAAGAATCATAATTACATTAGACCAGTGTGTGTGTGTGTGTGTGTGTGTGTGTGTGTGTGTGTGTGTGT